GTTTACAAGTCAACCTTCGACCGCACCCTCACCCGTCCCACTGGTTTTCCGCTTTTACGACTCTTCCCCTTCTCTCGTCAATCGCCAACATGTCGACCTCCGAGAAAGATATCAAGTCTGGCGCTGCCGTCGACCCCTCAATCCAGGTTGAGTACGCTAGCGACCCCGACAGAAGTGGCTTCGACCAGGCTGCTACAAAGAGACTGCTGCGCAAGATCGACTGGACTTTGATTCCTTTTCTTGCCCTGTTGTACCTGCTGTCCTTCCTGGACCGCACCAACATTGGCAATGCTCGTCTCGCTGGCATCGAGAAGGACCTGGGTATGGCGGGCCTCGACTATAACGTCGCCCTCTCAGTCTTCTTCCCCTGGTATGTCGCCGCCGAGATCCCCTCCAACTTGGCCATGAAGCGCTTCCGCCCTTCCATTTGGATCCCCTGCATCATGATCGCCTGGGGTATTTGCTGTACCCTCATGGGCCTCGTGCACAACTACGCCGGGCTTTTGGCTGCTCGCATGGCTCTTGGGCTTGCCGAGGGTGGTCTCTTCCCCGGTATTACCTACTAGTGAGTAATCTTCCGTCTCAGACCACATGGTGGCTTCCGGCATCTGACTCCTCAATCTCCAGCATTACCATGTGGTATCGACGTCACGAGTGCGGTCTTCGCATGGCCATTTTCTTCTCTGCCGCTACCGCTGCTGGTGCCTTTGGAGGTCTTCTCGCCCGAGGCATCGTTGAGATGAAGGACATTGGCGGTAGACCCGGCTGGGCCTGGATTTTCATCCTGGAGGGTATTCTCACTCTCGCTGTCGGTAAGTTGCGATTCCCATGGCTTCATGTGAAATCAGTGGCTCGATACTAATAGTACCTTGTCTTGAACAGCCATCGCCGCATTCTTCGTCATGAACGACTACCCTTCGACTGCCAAGTTCCTCACTGTTGCCGAGAAGGAGGAAGTCACTCGTCGTCTTGAGCAGGATCGCTCCGCTCTTGCTGATGAGTTCAGCATGGTTTACTGCAAGGATGCCATGAAGGACTGGAAGATCTGGGTTCACATGGTGAGTTGCAGTACCCGAATAATTCTGCTGTACCATGCGCGATCATACTGACAAACCCTTAGCTCATCACCATTGGAGTCTACACGCCCCTCTACTCCTACTCTCTCTTCCTCCCCACCATCGTCAGCGGCCTCGGATACACCAACGAGACGGCCCAGCTTATGACCGTCCCCCCCTACATTGTGGCCTGTGTGTGCTGCATCAGTGGTGGTTGGATTGCCGATCGCCATCGTCAACGTGGAATCTACATGATCTTCTTCTGCCTTATTGCGTATGTATTCCATCTTATGGCCCAGTGGAAAACTGTAAACTAACACTCTTGTCACAGAATGACCGGCTTCATTATGCTTCTCTCCTCCCAGAGCAACGGAGTGAAGTACGCAGGCTGCTTCTTCGCCGCTTCCGGTATCTACCCCAACGTTCCCCAGGGTGTCGCCTGGAACGGCAACAACATTGGAGGCTCTGTCAAGCGAGGTGTTGGTATTGCCATGCACGTCGGTGAGTCTAGTCTCGGTCGATATCATAGTTTCCATGAAGTAAACTGCTAACGGGCGGCATAGGCTTCGGTAACCTCGGCGGCGCGATCGCTGGTTTCCTGTACCAGGCTAAGGACAAGCCTCACTACTACCCCGGTCACGGCACCCTCCTGTCAACATTGACCATGTCGATGATTCTCTCCACCTTCATGACCATCTACCTCCGTCGCGAGAACGCTCGCCGAGACCGCGAGTACAAGGATCCTTCCCTCTACACTGCCGAGGAGAAGGCCGCTGAGCGTCACAAGGGTGATAACGCCAGCTTCTTCCGCTACACGGTTTGAGGGGATTATGAGTCTGTTGGATTAAATGCAATATTTTTAGCACAGTATATTGGTGTTCTTGTCTGTATATTGCAGCACATACGCGGATGATGCATATGCTATAGAGAAAGAATGGGAGCTTCAAGGGGATAGATCTGGATATTCGAGGTCCCCTTGGAGCTGGATAACAAAATAGAGGCACATCTACGTCAAGATCTTCCACTGTGATGCAGTACATTTGAAATGTGACACACTAGTGCAGTGCTATATGAGCTGTCAGGAACATGAAGCACAACAGGGGTACTGCTCTTGATTCTCAATGAAAATTCCGCTACGAGTCCAGTCGAAATTGCGTCTTCGCGACTTACAAGAGACTAGATGATAGTCAAGACCCCACTCTGCAATCATACATGGCCCTATCCGGCGGATAGCTCCTCCTCTTCCACCTCATCTGGCAACGCCTTGGCATTGTCCTCAAGGGGGGTGGAGTCCTGCCAATACTCCTGGCCTTGACATCCTTTCCCCCGAGACTTGAGGTACACTAAAACAAACTTGGGGGAAAACCTGGGGTAGGGCAAAAGCCAAACGAGGGGAATATCAATGCCAAGATTGACTTCAATGGGACAGGGTGACAAGGGGGTATGTTTGCATTTGAGGCACCAGATCTGTGATTGTCTGCGAGATCGGGCAAACTTCATGTTTGACAGCCCGTCCCGTGTGACGGGTTCAAGGTACATGAGTACTATACTACTGGAACCTGCCGAGTGTAGCACTTCATGCAAATGTACGTTTGACAAGTTGGGTTGTGGGACGAACCGCTGCGTTTCCGTTTCTCCGGCCGTGGGGGGGGGGGGGGGGGAGGGGGATGTGGGCTCGGAGAGTGACGAGGCCTCCAAGTCTCACGTGAACTTACCTTGGAGCTAACAATCGTCCATTCGGGAGTCCCAAGACCAACAGCCTTGAGGCTTTCACGATACTTGGCCCCCTGCCGTAAGACGTCCTAGGGTCGTGAGCCGGTCTTGCACGGGCGTTCTGCTACTTCCTGCCAGGTTTTCCATCATGTTGGCACCGTGATTTTGCAGGGGATACACGAACGACATAACGACAAGTTCGCTGGAGTCTAGATTGAGTATATGATGTAGCACAGGGACGATAGCTGGGAACAAGCATGAGGTCTGTCTCAAAAGTATTTTCGTTTGTATTTGAAAGACCTTTTAGCATATTGTCTCGATCTTTGGCGTGCCTAACTAAGCTGCAGGATAGGACAGAGGGGAATAAAGGCTACGGCTAAGTTCCCCAGGCAGAAGTATGACGCTTTAGTGCTTCTAAACACGAAATATATTCTCTAGATCATGGACTGGCGCGCAGAGTCGAAATGTCTCAAGATCTCATGTAGTATATGACGGGACGGATCTCGTGGATGTGAGCACCATTGCATCGTTAGGTAGCTTGAAGAATGAAGCGACGATTTGACACCTCGTAAAGCGTGTAGATTCATATGAAGAAGTCGTAACACGTTGGATCAGGCTACCTAGAATCAAGAAAGTCTAATTAGGGAGAAGTCGGAGGGCGGGGCCGATAGGTGGGGCTTTTACGGCCAACGGACGGATATACCGGAAGTCTGTTCCATGTACTAGAGTGCCGAACGGCTACCGGCTACCGATGACCGGCCTCCGTTGATAATCACTGGTACATGGAAATGCACCGGGGGTGTTCCAGCCTCCCTACGCATGTAGTCTCCAGACAAAAACACCAGGAATACTTGGATACTTTTCCTTCACTCATCCCTGAACCAGTCCAAAACTTCCGTTCTTGGTTTTCCTCGTTTCTTTTCGCCTCTCCCACCGCTCCTTTCCCCAACTGCTTCAAACTTCAGGCCCTAGAAGAAGGGAACTAGGTACTAAATATAAAGGCTATTGTCGATGACCAGTAGACGCGAAGACGCCAGGCGTACTGTTCAAGCTTGCCCTCTCATTTCTCTCCGTGGAGCTGGGCCGTATATACCCCAGAAACATCAGCACTCAAATCGACACTAATACTAGAAATAGTAATGAAGCACAAATCTCTACAATAGTCTCCTAAGCCTGTGATACCATATGGCTCGACGATGTTCCAGACATGGTCGCATATCCGACTTTTAGGTCTGGTGTCCTATGGACGGACGTCTCTGCACTCTCTAAGAGGGCTCTTGGGAAATTACAGCTTTGATTCTTACAGAGCGGACTTATTAGTACCATTAGAAAAAAGCCACCAGCAAAAAAGAGTTCGCCACCGGTGTGGCTACGTCTCTTGGCGGTTATTATGGTGCTCATGCTGGGATCGTATGCGGACTCGAACTCGGAGCCTGTCGAGGTAGGCTAAGGGGGGTAAATCGATTTGTTGACCTTTTAACCATTCCACCATCCAGCCAGTTTGACCTGACCCGCCGACCTAGACGGACGCCTGCTTGCTGGTGACGGGAATGCGATTGAGGGGGGGTATATACCCTTCTCGTGTGTTCGGATGAAAGGTGTAGTGTCAGGTGCGGAAGGTACGACCAATATCAGCAGACCAAGGAGAAGGAGCTGAATGCGCTGAATCGATGACAAGCGGCGCCAATGTAAATGATTCAGTCGATTTTGCTGATTGTGGTTTCGGTGACGGAACTCTTTGGAGGTTCCTCCGAGAGATGCACCGTATAGTGATAATTGGCGGTAGAGTCGACACTCTAGACCCCAATGGGTTCGGGTATTCATATTGATACGACACTGTGGCTTCTGCGTAGGCTTGTTTCCTTGCGTACGGCGGCTATGGCTCCAGACTTTTATAAACAGCCTGAAATGTATCGCTAGTATGCTCATTTGCTGGCTATGTAGCTATTTAACCGACGCTACCGGACACATCGCCACAATATAAAGCGACCTTGGATCTCTGTGGACTTCTGTACGGTACCATGAGAACTAAAAAGCTGTAGACGGTGTTGTATGTGGCATCCTGCTTCTCAATGATCGATGCATGGAAAGGCCTGAGAACCGGCTATAAAAGGGGGTTTCGCATGATGTATGCCATCCAACAAACGCTAACAGCGAAACGATTCTCCTCCTCACTGGTGGCTCCTCAATAAAATCACATTCCTTCAAGTTTGGCAATTTCTAAAAGTCATCATGCTTCGAGCCACCGCAATTCTCCTCGCCGTGATCGGCTCCGCAGCCGCTCTCCGCATCAAGAGCGTCACCCACAGCGGACCAGCCTGTCCCCAGAGCGACAGATTGACCTGGTCTGGCGGCCTGGACGACCTGACCATCACTCTCCCCGACTTCAGCGAGACTCTAGCCGCGGGTCAGATGACGAGCTGCCAGGTACACCTGCTCATCGACGAAGGCGACCCGGGCAAGGCTTTGCTGCTGCAGGATGTCACCGTCAGCGGGGGGCTCTACCTGAGTTCTAACACCAAGGTCGATTTCTATATGACGGCTTATTGGTCCGAGACGGCTTCTGATACTGTGAGTCGTTGCACATGCTTGTTGGGGGTTCGATGGAGGAAAATTGCTGACTTGTCGAACAAGGTTACTAAGTCTACGAGCACCGCGTCAGGTTCGGCGGCCGTTTTCCGGAACGTGGACGTGGCTCAGCGAGTGAACTCGGTTTCTCCTTGTACTGGTGGCGATGGCCACGTCGGGATTATGAATGTGACTTTTCGCATCATCTCCCAAGGCAGAGGGTTGGTTGTCTTTGGTAAAGAACGTAAGGATGGTGCTACGTCTTCGGTCGCAGAGTCGCTTGCTTTCAAATGGCAGAGCTGCTAGAAGTAGTTGTGTATAGATGGCGAAGATGACGAAGAGGTTGGCGAGATTGAGGTATTGGTGTTGCAAAAGGCTGTTTTAGGAGTCATTTACAAGAAAGATGGCATTAAACTCGTCTGCAAGCCAGATACAAGTTCACTACAACATGGGGCAAAAGGCACGCGTCACACACCGTCTTCCATCAACGAGTCTTGTGATATAACACATTACATTGCTACATAGACGACGTGCGTCAACAGTCATAGACATGTTTCCAGTCTCTGCTACCGCTGCTGACATTGTCCTGAGAATAGACCTGCCGTGGAACAGCACGACGTGAAGTTCCGTATAATCGCTACCCCCACCACTCGAAACGCCAGTACGCCTTAGACCATCGTCGTGAGAAAGCATTAGCATATACGACTGATGACCCTGTTCCAAGAGTTGTCGTTGCCAATGCTCTGTAAGCCGCCAAGACCGGTCGGCTCTCAATGGCAATCGTCGTCACGTCTCCACCCAAAAAGCGGGATGTGGGCGAATGCCATTACGTCTGCCCAAGGCGCATTCCCGCGGGGACGCAGTCGGAGTCGCCGACGGATCGTCGAAAGAGGAGAAAGAAAAATCAGCTTCGTCGGCACAACGCGTCGCGCGTCTAGTGGATATCGTTCGTTACAGTCGTAATTCGTAGCAGAGCTCGCGAGATGCCTCAACGCAGACCACCGAAATCCGTGCAGGTCTGTCGGCGACGCAACCCCAACCTCCAAAGATGAGAAATCCTGAAAATAAAACCTCCTGCCCCCGATCGATTCCTCATCTCGTGGGCAAGAAGCTCTTGGAGTCGCTCTCCTGCTCGGAAAATGACTGAGGGAAAGCGGCGAGACCTGCGACGATGGCGACGGCCATGAAGGCGACACTGATGAAGGACCAAATCAGGCCCCAGCAGCGGGAGGATCCGCCGTAGCGTTGAGCAAAGACGCTCGCGTCGGAGCTGTTGACTTTGCGCATGATGAGGTCGTCGCAGATATCCCATACGGAGTAAAGTGAGCTCATGACTCCGATGAAGAGCTACAAATTTGTTAGTCTGATTGCCTTTCAAATGAAATGGCAGGCTTGACTTACAACGACGAATCTGAGAGCTTGAGCGTGAGAAATGAACCACGCCGCGACGAGCAGACCAACAGCAAGAAGAACAGTGAGAATCGTGAGCCAATCCCGCTTTCCCCACCAAAGAGTCAACAGGAAACATACGCCAAGAACCATGGAGGCAATCTTGGACGCGTTAATGTTGAAGCCGCAAAAGATGAGAAGCCCGCCGATGAGCGATGAGCCCAAGTAGCCCGCAGGCAAGGTGATGGCCTGCTTGCCGCCCTTCATGAGCGTGGCACCGCCCTCGTTGGGGTCCAGGGTAATAGAGAGGACCTTGCCGCCGGTACAGCAAGCGGTGATGGCGTGACCGAATTCGTGAAAGGCAATGACGAGCATCTTGAAGGGCCAAAGGACCTGGCGGAGAAAGGGCACATTCCAGAGAATGGCGATGATGACGGCGTAGGCGCCGATGACGCCTAGGGTGACGGCCTGGGTGTGGTTGACGGTGAGATCGCGGCGGGCGAGGGCGTGCTTGGTTGTTGCGCGGGCGACTTCGGGGAGGACGACGACGGCGGCTCTCTTCCAGACTTGGTTTGCGATGGCACCGGCGCGAGCGAGGCTCTGCCTGGCCGTTGTTGGAGGGACGGGGGCCATGGTGAAATTTGTGGTTGTTTGGTTGTATCAATAGCGACAGACTGGGTGTGGAGGTTGTGGTGAGCGAGTGAGTAAACACAAGAAAGAGAGAGCAAGACTCCTTGCGGACTGTGAGAAGCGAGAGTTTCTCATATGCAGAGTATTCGTACTTGGCAACCCGATCACACGAAATGCCTTTGGTTACGACAGATACGTAAACAAGCTGGTGCAAGTTGCAGGGCTTACGTGGAGGTGGGCTGGGCTGAGGCTGGGCCGCATTCCCCCTGTTTCTCCTTTTTTCCTTGTCTCTTTTCCAGGTTCTTCATGTCACAGGAGGTCTTCCTTGTGGTCGGCCTCTCTCGTCTGAACTCCAGTATTTTCCCCCAAGCACAGACAGGCTGGGGGACGCGCCTTGGACGGCCTGGGATCTGAACCAACTTTGAAAGGCCCTGGCAGATGAAAAGGGGTCCACCCGGCCCCACCCCCGGCACCCGGCACTGACGCTGAGCATTGGCACTGCCACACTGCGACATGTTGCCGCTGTTGTCGTGGCAGTGGTCGCGGTCGTGGTGGCTGGGCAGAGCCTGTCTCGCTATTTTTGGAATGTGTGGCTTTATGTCACGTGACCAATCTAAGTGGCTAGTGCCTGTGGCTTGATTCTCCGGATGTTCAACCAACAATCCATTATTACATAAGGCAAAGGGAACCACAAGGTTCGATACCATTCATGCAGCTGGACGTTTTGGCTTTCACGTTTCACCCAACGAAAACATGACGTCTCTCACAGAGTCGTAGTGCCGTGCTGTGCAACTCATGCGCCGCCGGCTCAACATTGTCAACCTTAGCTTAGGTCGCTGAGGTGCTGGCTCGGCCCCCGAATACGAGAACCTGCTTCCCATAGCTGCACGCGGGGTTTCCCAACCATCTTGTCTCGGAGAAGAAACGTGTGGCCTGTTCCTTATACCTTAATACTCCTACTGGCTTAGAAGCTCCCATCTGATACTAAGCTCCCGAAGCCATCAAACAGCTGTCCACTTCTGGTCAATTCCGAGTGCCAATCCATCTCATTTGAGAATCAACGGAAAAGCTACACCAGTCCTCAATTATATCGTGATTGACTTCATCTTTACTTGCACTCTTCTTAGTCCTGCATCGACGACAATGGCTGCTGCAGTGGACACCTCCAATACGGAGCTCAGCAAGCAATATGACACTCCCATGGGTCTAGCTCACTCGACTATGCAAGCTCTCAAGGACAGGATCAAGACTCACTATGACCTCGCGAGTGACTACTATCTGAGTCTCTGGTAAGCTGTCACTGGTTTCTCTCCCCCACCGTGCGCAACGCTTTGTGACAAGACCCCCAGTCTCAATTGAGGCGCAACACACTTCCGCGTTCTTGCTACCTAGACCTAGACTGCATCCAGTCTGCGCCCTCCTCACGCATCAAGTCCCGGTGCTGTGTGACCATATCCGCCGAAGCTGACTTGCTCCCCTTGTTACAGGGGTGAACACATCCACCACGGCTACTGGGAAGACGGCTCCGAAACAAAAGAACAGGCCCAAGTAAAGCTCATCCAGCTCCTCCTCCAGCTCTCCGGCGTCAGCGAGAACAGCAACGTCCTCGACGTCGGCTGCGGCATCGGCGGCACCTCCCGCTACCTCGCCTCGACCCTCGGCTGTTCCGTGACGGGCATCACCATCTCGACCAAGCAGGTCGAGATCGCCAACAGGCTCACAAAGGCCGAGTCGGAAAAGCAGCAGGCATCTGCTGCGTCTACTGCGTCTGCGTCTGCATCTGCGACGGAGACGCCGGACAAGGGAAAGGAAGTCGAAGCCGACGCCGATGGCTTCGTCCCGCTCGGCCGCGGCAGGATCCGCTTCATCGAGCTCGACGCCGAAAAGATGGGCGACTTCTTTGCTGGGCAGAGCGCTTCGTTTGACGCCGTGTGGATCAGCGAGGCACTGAGCCATTTTCCCAACAAGGCCCTCTTCTTTGAGAATGCGTTCAAAGTCCTAAAGCCTAGCGGGAAGTTGGCGTTGGCGGATTGGTTCAAGGCTGAGAATGTCACCGAGACGGAGTTTGCTAATGATCTTAAGCCTATCGAAGGTATGTTGGCCCCTTTCTTCCCCTCCCGCAATCACCTTACCTATCGAGCTCTTATCGAAAGGGGGGAAGAACCTGAAAGTTGACTGTCTCCGTTATCAGATGGCATGCTTCTTCCACCGCTTTGCACGCAGCAGGGCTACGTCGATTTTGCCAAAGGTGCCGGGCTGTCCTTGCTCGCGGGCCCAAAGGATATCAGCAAGGAAGTGGCCAGAACTTGGTGAGTTACCACGTAAAGTAAGACTACACAAAGTGGCCGAGAATAACACTGTCTAGGGACATTACATGGACTCTGGTCCAGAACCCCTCTCTGTGGGCCTTTGCCTTTAGTCAGGGCCGAGATGGCATTGCATTCTTGCAGTCTTTCCGCGCAATGAGGCGTGGGTATGCTAATGGGACTTTCCGATATGCTGTAATCTCTTTTGAGAAGCCTAGCGGGAAAGCGTAGAGAGGATCTTGAAGATTAAACGATCTCAAGGTGGGATTGTAGGTACCGGCCCTATGATGCACGAAAACAAACGAGTCGAATCATAAACACAGCTGTTGATTACAATGGTATTGCTTTCTACATGGATGCAACTCAGTCGATTCCCAGCCGTTAAGTCATCGGACGTACGTATCTACATTACAAAGCCTTTAATACAATCCCTGTCTTTGCGAAGATGAAAATTGAGCTGGAAAAACAACCACACATCTTCCTCATAAATGGCATTGAGGAAGCCTGTCCTCTTACAACTAACTGCCTCAGCCTAGCTTGATTACAACCGTGCAAATCAGGGAGCTACGAACTCGTCAATGTTAACTCGCTCAAAGAAGCTGATATGGCCAAATCCGACCCAGTACTGAGCAAGTCGGTCATGGGAGACTAGCATAAGCTGAGACTCAATGTACTTGTCTAGAGAATAATGGTTAGCAGCTATCCAAATCTTGGCTTTGCAAAAAGGGTGACACACCATCTAAGAAGCCCGTTCCAGCGACGTGGCCTTTGCTCTTGACGACTCGTGTGCCCTGAAACGGTGGCTCTTGAGCAATGCCAACGAAGCCTGCCTCGCCCAAATCGTCCGCAACAAAGGTATACTCTCCTCGCGGGACGTTGGGGTCGCCAGTGAGTTTAGTTGCCTCTAAGCGGCCCCGGTAGACTCTTGCGTCAATACGGCGCTGCGTCCACTCTCCTTCAGACTCGTCAGGGCCACGGACAAGACCGAGTTCCTCATCCGAGACCTCCTCGTCATCGGGCTGATTGATCACCAAGAACTCGCACCCATGCCCGCTGTAGTCTCCAACCCAGATACCTCGCCATGGTTTGAGCTCCGTTGGCGTGTAGACAACAGGATCGAGGGTTGAGTATGTGATGACTTCTTCGCCAATACGCACGCCAGTGGCACCACGAGAAGCCATACCCATGTTGGCTTGAATGGCTTGTATGATACCCACAGGCCCAGGCCCAGGCCCAGGCCCAAGGAAAAGACCGGGTGTTGGGGATCCTGCCATCTCCATCCACTGCCGAATCCGGAAGGCCTGGTCCGAGGCTTCAGCTCTTCTCGTCAGTTGGTCGCCAGGGGCAAGGTCATCACCATCCAAACCAGAAATTACACCAGACACTCTGTGACGGGCAGGAATGGCTGGTGGAGGCCAGACATTCCCATAAGGAAACACACCGTCCATTCTCGATGTAGCCGTTGCACCGTCCAGAGGGCGAGCCATCAAAAAGTTGCAGAACATGGCGTCATTTGGGTCGTGAATTGACATTGGTACCTCGTGCAGAAATCGTTGTCCCAAACTACCCAACAGTCCCTCGTCTTCGGCTGGGCGGCGAGCATGGAATTGTAGTACCGGCTTGTCCAAATGAAGTTTGACCTGAGGTTCGAAAGCATGTATAATCACACTGTGGTCGGCAGGCCAGTGCTGATACGTAGTACGGTTGCTGACAGCCAACAACTGATATCCTTCAATGCAACCCCTCCGCTGGTCATACCTGACGATTATCATCTTGCCCATGAGGTCACGGTCGCAGAACCAGATCTTGTACTTTGGTAGAAACCATCTCGGGTCGTGTGCGGCGTAGAGTTCGCGGTATGTGCGGCACGGGTAAGGAGTTGTGACTTTCTCTCCAGGAACATTGGCTTGCACCCTCTGGTACCAGTGAACATCAGACGCAGCGTGGGCGTGAAGGATTCGGCAGGTTTCCGCTACGATCGCCAGGTCGCATGGAGGTAAATAGGCTAGGATCGCATCGATGAGTTCGGAAGGAAGCACGAGTAGGCGGCAACTGTTGTCTGACGGCAGGGAAGGTAAAGCTAGCACAGAAGCGACGGATCAGTCGGGTTAATCAGAGGTCAAACAAGGACGGAAGACGTACTGCCCGAGGCGGCAATGTTGAAGTCAGAAGGAAGGGGATAGTAGTCGTCCCTAGAGCTTCCAATCGTTTTACGGTGATCTGTGGCATCGCTCCGTAGTCCCTCTTCAGATACATATGGTAATATGTAGAGGTTTTCCTCGACTTCGGGGTCGATGCCGCCGTAATTGCTACCGCTGGCGGTTGACATGGTGTCGTGAGTTGGCGCATCCGAATCCGCGGCGGAGCTGGAGGGCGAGGGAGGACTCGTAGCCATTTCGCAGGTCGTATCCATGCCTCTTTGGGGTAAAATAATTGCGACGTCGAACGCCGTTCCGAGGGCTCCTGACTGCGAAGGGGGCGGGCTATTCTTGTGGCTTGTCGGGGGATCCAATACTCTCTCACGAAGGTTTGGCGAGTGGCTGCAATGCGAGTATGCAGCGGCGGGGGTTGTTCTTCGGGCTAGAGAGCAATGTTGCGGACGAGAACAATTCGGATGGGCTGAAATATTGGCGCTGCTTGCAGCATGTGTCAAATTGCGTCGATGTCTCGATGATTCCAGCGGTAGTCTATCATGGAGGTTCGGGTCGCCCAAGGGTGGTGCATATAGGAGTCGTCAGTGCTCGCAATGTTGGGGTCATGACTCCAGGCTTGGTCTCCACGTCTCCGACCAGCCGGGGTGAGGGTGTGTTGGGTGCGTGCGTGTATGCAACAATAGCATGAACTTTTTAGTTGCGGTCGCGGACGGGCCAGAAGTTCCTCTTTGCGACCCCCCGGTTACGGCGCATAGCTAACCCACCCCAGGCTCAGGCCGGGGATGAGGGAAAGCAGCGATGACAGCACGGTCGATACAGCAGTAGCGGTAGCAGCAGCAGCAGCAGCAGCAGCAGCAGCAGCAGCAGCAGCAGCAGCAGCAGCGGCAACGACAGCCGAGGCGGGGCAGAAGGTTTGGCGTGGTGGGTGTGCTCCGTAGTGCCAATGGAGATGGTTAGCGGTTCAGATGCTTGGAAGCACCAACCATGAACAAGTCGCGTGCCGGAGAGGATGGATAGATGGATCTAGATTCCGCAGGCGCATGCGACGACATGCGGCTGGATGTGCCGAGACAGATGATGGATGTCGAGACTCGAGAGGACGTTGCGGTAAGGTTGGTCGGGACCAGGTTCAGGTTCCAGGTCAGGGTCGGTGGTGCAGGCGGATATAGGACCGAAACAGACAAAAGGGCCTTGGTTGAAGCAAGGTATGCCGCCGTCGCCGTCCCCAGGCCACAGGACTAATGCAGCGCCAATCGGTGACTGGAACCTGAACGGGGGGATAACTTAGAGGATGAGTGGAATATGATACCCGGAAGAGGAAGGGCGTTCGTCCAAGGCCAGAGACTAGCACCAAGATGTTGATGCGTGTGTACGAAGTGTGCCCTGTGGTTCCTCAGGTGAGATATCCCGTTGGAACATGGTGGTCGACCGTGGAGGTGGAAGCCCAAGAATAGAAGCGGATATTACTGTGCCTGCCACGCCGGTGGTGCATGTGGAAGCAATGCGTGTTGCTGCAGCATCTCACCCAGCTAGCGCAAGCGTGAGCGTGGTCTTGCATCTCGTCTCATGAGGTGCTCGAGTGAAGTAAGGTAAGTAATTATCTGTCGGTGACCTGAGTGAGGAATCATGCAGCTAGCATGCTGTGCCGCAAAGGGGAGCCAAGGCCCAAGCATCACCTAGAGAAGGGTGCATCGAGTCGCGTCTTGATCCTGGTGCGTTGGAAAGGGTGGAAGTGCATTGGTGCACCGTCAAGGGTCAGGCACTTCAGGTACCGAGAACCGGAACCGGAATGGAAGCGGATTGCGGGGACGAAGCTGACTAAGGGGAGAGCTTACTTGAAGTGCCCCTTACCTTACGCCGTACGGATACCTCTCGAGGAATGAGGTCAGTGACTTTAGGGTCTGTCGCTTATCGGGTGACAAGAGACAAGATAAGGTATTACCTAGGTACCTAAGGTACCTAAGGTACCTCAGGTCCCTCCCGCCCGTCCCCTGGAGTCTCACGGCCCGGATCAATAACGCCATCGCATTTACCCAACCAGCCACCCGACTGACGACTCTAGCATACCTTCAATCACAAAGTACCTAAGGTACCTTGATGTCGGGACAAGATAAGCACCTTGGCCTTGCTTATCTTGGCCTTGGGCTCAAGCGAGCCTGAAGTGGTCATAAATCAGGGCAACTCAGGAGTATCTGTCATGTTCGTGTATCCATACGGAGACCTCACTCAACTAATACCTACACTCATCCCTTCGGCTGTCCGGCGCATTGCAGGAGATCGTCGTTGAGAGTTCCGACCACTCATGAGCGTTGACTTGGGTTGGCTTCAATCCACCTGTCTCTAGAGCACAATGACATGCCCAAAGACTGCCCGAGGCGATCACGGAGCAAGAAACCCCAGCTCTTCCGCGCATGTTTACGGTTTGCTGAACGACCAATGCATCACATCACATTGGCCAAGCCAAGAACGTGCCATGCTCTCTCCAGCTTGCTCTCACATTATCCGTACATCTCGCCGCAAAAGGGCCTGACCTTTCTGACCTATAGCAACTGGCCTATCTGGTCTCGATTGAATCCACATTGCTTCAAAAAGTCCCAGCCAAGGCTTGTCGGACAGGAACCTTTGCGGCGAGCCAGCGGGATACTTTAATTGGCCGTGTCGTAATTCTGATTGATGGCGGTGTCTTTAGGAATAGTTTTCGACCACTCGAGGCTTTAGTTGATCCTTGAATCTTGGAAAGGACTCTATTCCTCTCTCTCTCTGTGTTTCTAGGTTGCGTCTATCGATTTATGCATTTAGGCGACGTAGTATCCAAAACAGGTCTACAAGCCCTCCTACCCAATTAGGTAGGTAGGTGGTTCCTCCTACCCTCCTTCCTCTTCCTCCATTTCTCGCTCATTGCAGGGACCGCCAACCCCATCAACCTGAGGACTCGGGAGGCATTGACCCTTGGTTCACCACCAACAACCAGCACAACCACAACGGCACATCCGTTAAGCTTGAGAGACTTTCGGTTTCATTGCTTGATCTCGCTCCGATTCACCACTCATTTTATCGAACACTGACGTTACAATTCTCGCAAAACAAAAACCAACTCAACTTCAACGGACCATTCCGTACGACTACGGGAAAATATACGCACCAACCTACCCGCCTACATCCTGTCTTCTGAACGTTGTTGATACCACCTTACGCCTTGCTATACGGAAATATCCAGACCTTACACTACATACTTGCTCAATCCACTGCCGGAGCTCCCCCCACCTCACCTAGGGATCCGTCCGACGTCTCCTTCCTACTTGGTAATAGCTTCCGCCCGCCAGTGGAAGGCTGTCCTCGCCATCACCCAATATCCTACAATACCACGGAAACTCGACTCAGACCTCGCTCGTCATCAAGCAGAACACCCAACTACGGCCATCCAACCTTCATCTCCCTCTCCGCGGGCGGGTCAGCCGAGACCGGCCAGATCACAACGGAGCACGCCAGCAGGACCGTCACTATGGCGTCTCTGATCCCGCTCATCAACGACCTGATACCCATGATCGTTTCCTCCTCGGTATCCGTCACCAAAGCGAGCACCCTCCGCCCTCCCGATGCAACTCTGAATCCCGCTTCTGCCAACGAGGCCGATGCCGTTGTCAGCAAAAGCGATAAGCTCTGCGCCTCCGGTAAGTCCAACTTGGTCTAGGAAGCCGTCTCCCCTGCCCCTACGAACACCTCTCCCTCTCCCTCTCGTTCTCTGTATTCGTACGTGACCTGCTCTGGCGTCACGCACCGCCTTTCCCGCCGTTACCTGCCCGGTCCGCCAGCTTGCCGGCCAGAAGGTAGCGTCGCAACCGGTAACTGTAATGTTGGCCCTTGGGCAACAATGCTCAAGTCGTGCTTGTCATGATCCTACCAACCCTGGTCTCTCGCATTGCCTTGTGTCTTTTGTACTGCCACGTTTTCTTAAACTAACTCGAGTAGTCATTACTTTGAACCCACATGCGACATCGGCTATCCGCCATCACGGCGAGCAAGGTCAGGATTAATCTTTTCCCCCATTCCAACCCACCGTCTCCTTCTTCCACCTTAGCGACCTATCTTCGCTCTCTTGGCGATGTATCTCTAATGCTTGCCAAGATACCATTCTCTACATGGCTTCCGGGACCGGCATCCTGCTAGTTAGCCCCGGTGCAGGGCAAGATGTCAAGCGGCACGAACTATCCTCGGGTGACTTTGCCTTCATTCCGTCCTGGACGGAGCACCAACTACTAAATGAGTCGGATCAAGATACCGTGTGGGTCATTACTCGCAGCGGTTCCCAGCCGGTCACGGTAGGCTTGACGGATTGGGGAGGTGACCGGGCTAAGTAACCCATATACCATCGCTCGGTCGTGGAGACGGACTCCAACTCGTGGTGACTGACCGCTTGCTCGATGTGTGGCAGCAGCAGAAGCATCACATCATACACCACTCAAAAAGATTAACTTCGCAGGGCAAGAGTGAACTGTCGCTTTCCCGGTGGGATTCCGCCAATGTCATGATATCTATCGAGTATCTCTACCTTGCTTCATCATCGCCCCATATGGCACCCACGATCCGCGCTATAGCCCTGGGAGAATCAAAGACCTGCGCGTGGTCCTTGTCCGGGAACCAAAGGATGTCGATGCCTGACCCAGCGGAACGGTGACTCTCGTAACCCATGCCCGATATGGGTCCAGCCTTTGGTTCGGCAACGTTACGCCGGCCATGCTCGCCTTGCAACCATGCGGGGTGTCCCGCCTGCTGGCCCTGACCCCCCTCGGCCAAATACCTGGCGACAGCGTGGCTGTCGACAATCAGGTCCAGCCCGGACAGGCATACGGTGACCTGCCTCGCTTCCTGCCGCTCGACGCCCGCCGATTCCGATCCTGCTGTGCGACCAACCAGTTCGTCAGCCCAGATGGCGTTTTCCCTCCAGAAGAAGTATCTGCCGAGGCAGTGGGCGACCCCGGGGTCCATGCTCGCAAAATACCACAGCTGCCACTCGTTGGCAGTCGACGGCGCACGTCGTGTGAAGTTGTAAGCGACGTCGGGCAGGTGGAGGAGGATGCTCACGGGGTCAATGAGCACGGCCCGCGGGATCCTGGCCTGCAGGTCTGGGCATCGCATGGCATGGGTCGACAAGATGGAACCGTACGAATGGGAGACGAGGGTGAACTTGTCCCAGGCGTGATGGTTTACTATCTGCTTGAACTGTTGAAGAAAGACCTCCTTACCGAGCGGCGGGTCAGTCAGTCGGAAGGAGACGGGCAGGATTTCGATGGCGATGACGCCTGTCTGGCCGTGGCCTCTTATCCTCATGGTGGTGATCTCGGCAAGGAAGCGGACATAGGGCCACAATCCGATGCCGATGCCGTGGAGGAAGACGACCGGCAGACCTTCCGCGCGATGGGGGCGGTGCCAGTAGCTTAGATTCCCGGCCGAGGACCGCCGGCTGGCAAACACCTGTTGCAGACGAGGTGGAAAGATGGCCTTATCCCTCGGCTGGGCGTAGTACTGGAACCCGTAGAACCATAAGGAGAGGTGTGTGACGTGGTCCAGGAAGGCCATGATGGCGTACCACCAGACGGTGCGGTACTTTGTATCTACGGAATCGATCGTAAGGCGCAGGCACTTTGCCGGGCCGCGACCGGGCTTAAAGGGCTTGCCGAGCAGACGTTCACTGCGCGTTATATACTGGTCCACCTCCACGTCGTAGTTCTCCCCGTCCCTGGCGCTGGCCTGCTCGACGTCTCTTTCGCCCATGTCGAAAAAGGCCCAGAGGAGGAAGTCGCGGACGTTGTCGCGGTGAATGTCGGCCATGTCGGCGCCCAGGAACCACATGCGGACGTAGCGCTCAAAGTCGGGGATGGTGGCCATGCACCGCTCAAAGAGGGCCAGGCGGTCGGCGGGCGAGGAGGGGCTCGGGTGCGAGGCTGGTTCTCTGAGACGCTTTGTGTAGGGGAGCCAGATGAAGAGGGCGTAGATGAGTTCCGTGGCCGCCATGCATGTTACGACGGCGGCGGTTGTGACCCATTTCGAGGGGGAGGTTGTGTAGTTTGCGCCGAGGAGGCATGCGGAGAGGAGGGCTGCGTAGGGGAGGATTGGGTATCGGAGGGGGATTATGCAGGCGCGTATGAAGATGTACTCGTGAAGCGTGCGCCCGAGCATGTTGGGCTGGTGTTGGTGTTGTGAGGTTTAATGCTTGGCGGCGGTGGTGATGATGATGGGCATGCAATGAGAGGCAGGCGATTGCTCGTCGTTGTGAGTGTAAAGATGATGCTGTACCGGTTTCTTATCTATCAAATGACAAACGAACAGGAGACAGGGAAAATGGCCATGTGTAGATGTAAACAGAGCATTACTTCCTTGGCCCTTAGTCCCAAGAGTCCAGTCCTTCTTCGCGTGATGTTCAGATTTCGTTGGGGATCGTCCGAATCACGCGGTACAAAAAGCTGTAGGCGACCCGCGAGCTAAGGCAGGGGATGGAGGGATGGACCGGCGGTGGATTGGATGACGAAACGAATCGCAAACCTGCCGTTCGCCTCGGGGTCGTCCCCCTGTTTCTTTTCTCCAAGTTTTGCCTCCGTCTTTTCTTCCGAATTGCTGACGAAGAGCCATTGGAACTCTTACCAAGATGCTTACATCTGAAAGCCCGCCGCCTCGGGATATGGTTAAAGTATCTCTGAGACAACTGGGCAGACTTGATGGGAATTAGTAGCGTGAGCAGCAAACCCCTGGGAAAACCACGATGCTGATTGGTCCGTTGGAGATCAAGCTTCAGTCAAAGACGTCCAATACCGTTGAATCGACCCATCTTCTCAACGTGACTGTGACATTTCATATGAAGTGACAGGCACAGACAGACTTGCGCGGATTGTCGCGCGTCAAATCGCCTTGCCGAGGTTTCTGCCCATGGGACCACCGTTGATTGAGGTGCAGTGTAAAGAGCCTCATCTTCACACATGCTTCTAGGTTAACGTAATGCCCATAATTGCTTTTGCATGCATGCTGTGTTACTACGCACATGCAAATTATTCATTTCTTGCTACGCAGGTCTTGAAATCATGACCCAATCAAAAATAGAATCTGTCCGATCTTCCGCCCCTCAACAACAATTTCTCCCCGAATGCCCTTTGCGCTTCACTCCCAATGGAATCCACGACTTCTCCGACGCCGGCCTTCTTCTTCTTCTTCTTCTTCTTCAAGTCAGCGTCGGCGCCGACCATGTAGCATAATCCTTCACGTTAACATTAACAGTGCTGCGCTCGAGGATGGACGGTTTGGTCGCGGAGTTGAGCAAGAAGTAGTTGATATACTGCGTCAACTCGGCATTCTGCCCGCTCGGGAACTGGCAATGGTTATGCCCGCCGACCAACGAGAACCCCATATTCTCCGGCACCCCGAGAGCCTGGTAAATGAGCCTCCCGGCCTTCATACAGCCCGTCGTCGACACGGGGCCCAACCAGTCGATATCGTTCTCCGCCACGTACAAACCCCGCGGCGCAACGAGCCCGGCCAGCAGGTGATGGTCCTCGGGCACCTGCGACGACCTCGTCGCCCACGTGTTGAACAGGGGCGAGAACCAGACGTTCTCCCCGACGATCTGGCTTGACGTTTGGATGTTTTTCCCCTTGGCCTTTTCGCTGTCCGAGATGCGCCAGCACGCCGCGCCGCCCGAGCCCGATTCTTGGGGGATGGTGAGGGCGATGCGCTTCTCCAGCGCGCCGACGACGAAGGCGCCTTTGCCGTTGCGCGAGCAGCCCGTCACGCCTAGCCTCTTGGTATCGATGCCGGTTTTGGCGTCGCCGAGCTGCTCGAGGCCGTCGATGAGTCGGCCTACGCCCCACGCCCACGCCGTCAGGGCGCCTGCGCTGTGTTGCTGGCCGAAGAGGGTGTAGAAGAGGCCTTGACCTCTGCTGGCCTGGCCGTTTTGGGCGGCAAAGGCGTCGTTGCCAAAGGTGATTTGCGCTACGGTGCCGGGGATGGGGATACTTGCGCCGCCGACGCCGATGATGGCGGGGAAGGGACCCGTGCCGGAGGGTTTCGTGACGGAGGCGGTCATGCTGATGCTCTTTGTGCCGACGGTGACTTTGACGGAGAGGGTGTTGCCGGAGAGGGAGGCCTCGACTTTATCCGGGGGCGGGGGGAAGTCTCCGAGCTCGTACTGCTCCATGGCGTTTTGGATCTCGGTGGCGCGGCAGGTCCAGTCTGCTTTTGTGGTGACTTTGGAGCCGTCGGCGAAGGTGAAGGGGTCTGGGAGCTTTGCGTCGTTGACGGCTGGGATGTTTGTCTTTGCTTTGCCGCAGTCGGCTTGTCGGATGGAGATTGTGTCGGCGGGCATGGCTAGGGCCGTGCCGGCGAGGAGGAGGAGCGAGGCGCGTAAAGCCATGATGGTTGCTGGTGAGAGATGATCTTGGGTTTAGAGGAGGCTCGTGGTGCTGCGGATGAGACGAGCTTCTGAGAGAATGAGACGACTTGTTCCTCGAGATGATCTCCTCTTATGTTTATCGTAATTCGGATCAACGGATGCCTGTTGCTAAAGGGTCAAGACCCTATATGGCTGTCATCTAAGGTACATCATTTGGATAATGACGGGTGTTTCCAATGAGACTCACATTAGCCGGCAATGCGTGCTCACGGGACTGCTAAAGTCAACCCCAGGCGAGCCATGCGGCGCACCATTAAGCTTATTCAACTACCGTCAACTTCCCCGCCGGCTGCTATCTAGTAGCTCTGTTAATATACCCACTACAGCCGAAGGTATGGCCCAGATTAGTATACGAGCCTACCTTTGGCTCTTCCTGTCCAGTGCGACCCAAAAGAGGCCAGTAAGAACTAGGCCAAGCAATGATCTGCACCGGCTGAATAGGAATGGTATGGGCAGCAAGCGGAACGAGTCCAGCGTTGCAACTTTGATGCTACGCAACTCAATTAAGCGTTTGTGCGGTGTTGCAATGGCGAGGCCAAGTTTCAAGTATGACAATGTCCAAGAATGGAAGTCATCGCAACTTTGAAAAAAAAGACGGGCGGCCGAGGCTGAGATGCCCCGGGTCACCGGGCATGCGGAGTCGCGGACCCGACAAGCGGCCGGCCCTGTGGTGGGGCACCTTTTTTTCTTCCCACCAACAGCCGCGACTTGATTGGCTAAACATTTTCGAGAGCCCATCCGTCTCCGTCGCCCGGCTGATTCTCGATCTCTTACGCCTTTCAACCTATGCCAATTCTCAGTCCACCCTCTTTTCACTCTCCGCGCAAACCAACGCTCCCCAAATCTCGGTCCACGATCCCGCTCAATCCCTACCCGATACCCAGCAGCGGACCAATTGCTCCTCTCTCGCCTGCGCGTCATACCCCTCTCCGTCTCAGGCCCCTCGAACACGCCTCTTCACTCCTCTGAATGGTCCGCGTTTGAGAGAGAAAGAGACAGAGCAGTCCCGCGAAACATCCCCGCCGCGCCGCCGACCGGCTTCTTCCTCGCCCAGGCCGACATGAGCGCAGAGCAGAGCAACAACAATGCGGCCAGCTCCCACCTCGCTCTTGCGCCCTCGCCGACTCGATAATGTCTGTCGCCAATGCGTCCGGAAGACCTTTGGCGCGGGGGCCGGCAGTAGCAGCCGCAACACCATCAGCTCTCTGCCATTGATCACGAGTCGGGCCGCCTCGACGACGGCCGCAAAGGCAGCACCCGCAGTGCGTCTCAGCGCGAGCTACTTCCTCTCCAACAGCGTCCTCGACCGCACGAATGCCCGGCCCCGACCCCTCGGCAGCAGGAGCTCCTCCGCCTCCGTGGCGCCCTCGTCTTCGTCTTCCTCCTCCTCCTCGCCCTCCTCCTCCACCGCGCGCTCCGAGTCGACGACACCAATTGACGTAAACCAAGACCTGCCGCACCGTCGCCGCCAAGCCGCAAGACGCAAAGCCGCCGCCGAAGCAGCCGCCGCCGCCGCCGCCGCATCCTCCTCCTCCTCCTCCTCCCCCGACGTCCTCCCTTCTCAGGATGCCTCCTCCGCCCTCACCAGCGTCGCCGCCCAACAACCCGCCCACTCGGCCCGCCGCATCTTCTCCACCCTCCTCTCCCTCTCGAAACCCCGGCTGTCCGCCCTCGTCGTCCTCACCGCGATGGCCCCTTACGCCCTATACCCCGTCACCGACTTCCTCTCCCCCGCCATCACCGAGTCCCCCTCCCTGAGCCCGCTGACGCTCCTCTTCCTCACCACCGGCACGGCCCTCTGCTCCGCCTCGGCAAACTCTCTGAATATGCTCTACGAGCCCAAGACCGACGCAAAGATGTCGCGCACGCGGAACCGGCCCCTCGTCAGGAACCTGCTCTCCACGCGCGCCGCCGTCCTCTTCGCCGTCACCACCGCCGTCACGGGCGTAGGCGCCTTGTACTTCGGCGTCAACCCGACCGTCGCCTTCCTCGGCGGCGCAAACATCTTCATCTACGCGGGCATGTACACCCCCATGAAGGCATTCAGCGCCGCAAACACCTGGCTAGGCGCCGTCGTAGGCGGCATCCCCCCGCTCATGGGCTGGGCCGCCGCCGCGGGCGAGACGGCCTCGGGCGACGGGTCCTGGCGGGAACTGCTCTTCGCCAGCGACGGCAGCTCCATCGGCGGCTGGCTCATGGCGAGCTTGCTGTTCGCGTGGCAGTTCCCCCACTTTATGGCGCTCTCGTGGTCCATCCGGGAAGAGTATAAAGCCGCCGGCCTGCGGATGCTGGCGTGGACGAACCCTGCGCGCAACGCGCGCGTCGCGCTGCGGTATAGCATCGCCTTCATCCCCATCTGCGTCGGGCTCTGCGCCGCGGGCGTGACGGAGTGGAGTTTTGCCGTGACGAGTTTGCCCGTCAACGCGTGGCTTACGCGCGAGGCGGTGCGGTTTTGGAAGTACGAGGGACACAAGGGGTCGGCGCGGGGTTTGTTCTGGGCGAGCGTGTGGCATTTGCCTGTTGTCATGGTGCTTGCGCTGCTGCAGAAGAAGGGCATGTGGAGCCGGGTGTGGAATAGCGTTGTTGGCGTGGACGATGATGATGAGTGGGAGGATGACGATGAGCTGGATGAGATGCCGGTTACTTTGCCTGTGCCGCGTGATAGGTGATGCGGCTGGCGTGTTGTAGTAGAGAACTCGGGATCTTGTATGATAGTGTTGCTCGTTTGCCTCGTGGGGGGAACCATCAATACCCATAGTGGTGCTCCGGTCTTAGATTTCCGGGTTCAAAGATATAAAGACCTCGCTCTGTAAATCCAGTGTTTGTTCATTACGGGAAGACAAAAAAAAAAAGCGCGGGTGTATTTCAAAATGATGATTTCCTTTGTTTTCTGAAGTTCAAAAAGCATTCCATTGGCGGTGTCCTAGGTTCCTCTTCTCCCTCCTTTTTGTCTCAACCTGGTCTCTCTCCTCTGGTATCTCTATAGATGCTATTATACAGAAATAGAAAGAAAACTATCAAAAAACCTCTCCTTCCTAGGTGCTATTCTGATCATTTGTTCGTCATTATACGGAAGCAAAAGATGGCTCCCTTTGTGCTGTTCATCCATCCCGCAAATAGTAAGATAACTTGAAAAGAGTGCCCAAGTTTCTTACCAAAGTCGAAAACCGAAGCCCATCTTTAGGTGAATTTGAATACCCATGCAACACCGAAAACGCCTCCTGAAAACCTGCAAAGACAACGCCATGACCTATAAGGAAATGAAAGCAGGAAAAGTGAAGAAGCCTCGACCCCTAGGAGCCAAGGGCGTAGGACTTAGGACCACTGAGAGGACTCATTGTTGGAGCCATGCAGTCACATGGGCTGCTGCTGCTGGCCGCCGCCAGGTCGGTTGATGATGGCGTCGATGCCCATATCCACGCTCGGCAACCGCTGACCGTGGGGGTGAAGGTACGGGCTGGGAGACTGAGACTGGCCGTGGCCGCCGTATCCGCCGTTGACGGAGCCGTTCGAGGAGACGGAGCTGGTGTATCCGTGGTGAGCGCCGGTGGCGTGGCCGTAGCCGCCGTACTGCGCGGCGTGCATGGGCTGGAGGTGGTGCAGGGAGGCCATGTAGCCCGCGGCCGAGGCGCTGCTGCCGCTGGCGGAGTGTCCGGAGGAGACGGTCTCCGGGCTACTGTAGGACGCGTCTAGCTCGTCAACTGGGGTTAACCCGAGGCCGCTGATGCCGCTGTCATCGTCATACCCTGGTGGTAGTGGCTGCCCTGACTCCAGGCGCTCCCGTCTGGCCCCGGCGCGGGCCGCGCTTTGTAGGTTCTTGAGACCGTTCGACATGCACTATACACCGGTGTGAGGTTAGCTAGGGTCATCTCTCCCATCATTTGATGTTATGTTATTGTAGGGTCTGTCGTACCTTGGCCTCGACGACGTTCCACTTCTCTCCCGTGCGAGCAGCGAGACCAGACCAGATCTCCTTTCTCATGCTCATGTACTCCTTGGCCAGGCGTTCAAGCTTGCGGTTGTCCCAGTCGTCGGCTCCCTTGCGCTCCATCAGGCGCTCGTGGCGCTTTCTGCACGCGTTGGGAGTCTTGTTGGGGAAGTAGGTGGTCTGGATCTGGCTCCAGTTGAGGCCCTGGGCGCGGGCTGCGAGCAGCTGCTGATCATCCTGCGGGGTCCAGGCTCCCGAGGAGGCGCGGTGTTGCATCGGGGGCACGGAAACCGGGGGCGCAGAGACCGGGGCGTAGCTTTCGTACGTGGGCTGCGGCTGTTGCTGCATGGGAGCCGAGGAGGACGGCAAGGTGTAGTAGGCCGTCTGCGGCATGGACATGCGTTGGTTGTACATTGCGATTGGGTTTGCTGCGGGAGCGAGAGAAATTGGCATCGGGTTGCTGTAACGGTTGTGGTTGTGACTCGAACTGGATGCCCGCGTGTGTTTGGGCATGATAACTCGGGGGAAAGTAGATATCGAAAAAAGAGAGTTGCCCGGTATATAGTGAAGGCGTGCAGATTACTGATTATCCTGCAAGAAAAGAAGCGAGTGTCCCGTTATGTTGATGATGATTCTGCGCCTCGCCTGGAGGTGGTTTATGGAAAAGGTCGGTAGTGGTTATAGGGCGGCAGAATGGAGCGAAAGGAGATTGACGGACTGAAGGAATCTAGAAAATCCGACTTAGGAAATATGATGACTATGACGAGAAAAGGAAATAGGAGATAGAGGAAAAAAAGGAAACTCTTGTGAAATGGAGAGAACTGTCTTGACAAGCGAATACAAGGTCAAAAGGAGGTCGAGAAGCCGGACATTGGGCCTGACTTTAAGCAATATCACGACCAGCCGGGAAGACAAAGAGACACAGAAGCGCGGTTACGATGGGACCAGGATCATGGAACTCTGAAACAGGGCAACTTGACAGAACAAGACCAAATGAGCTGCCAGAGCTCCCATGAAACCCGTCTCGTGTGTCTAGAGGGACAGACAACGAGTCCTAGAGCCACAGACATTGGCCAGACGTCTCATCGGGATGGGCGTCAGTCTGAAGTTGGGCGCGTAGAACTGGCCGGGTCTGAAGGGCGGCTACAATAAACCCTGGGGCATGATCGGACGGGTCGCCGGGGTCCCGAAGAAGGGAGCAATAGGGCTCAAACGGGAAGAGACTGGGGCCGGAAAGAGGATTTGAGACCGGTAGAGGTAGTGGGTAAGAGTAGGCGCCAGCCTTGCCGCGCTCGACGATTCCTATTTGGAGGAGGTTATCGGCCGTGTTAGGGCTGGATCATGCCACGACATGTGTGGGGTCGGACAAAGTCCCGACTCCCTGAGAGAAGGGTAGCGAGCAGACGACGGCGGCAGCGTTGAACGTCTACTGCTAGACTGTATAGAGTTGTTGGTTCGGTCCGCAGCCCCCACGACCGCGGTGGAGGAGCCAATGAGGCGGTAGACGGGAGATGAGGAAGGATAGGCGCATTGCATTGTGAGCGCGCGGTAGGTGGGCAAGGTGGGCAATGTCGTAGATGAACTAAGTAAAGACGGTCAAGACGGTCAAGACCTGTGGCCTGCCGCTGAATGCGGATACTTGGAAGTAACGGTAGCAAGGGACCACTGGGTCTGGGGTCCGATCTGCAGCTCGATCGACGAAGATGGGGCCAGCAGACGCGTCGTGAAGCGAAGCGGGCGGGGAGCTCAGCTTCGTTCGAGTACCTGGCATGAGCAGCAGGAGATTAGATGGAGATCTCGTAGAGCGCATGGACGAATGTGTATAGACTCTAGCATGAACCACTTGGTTTCCCTAAAGTTTGATGTCTGAATTCCTGCTGCCATGGGCTGGACAGCGAGCGAGACTTGAGTGCCAGTGTAAGTGAGCGAGTGTCGACTGTTGATAACATGAGGTGGAAAAGTAAGGTGAGTGGGCATGGGAAAGCAGCAACATTGAAATTGAAGGTTAATTAGACGCGCGCCTGGAGTACAGAGTGGGGCGGTTCGTTACCAGTGGACCTCGTTGAGTGGATGCCGGAGCTTTAACTGGCCAGGAGTGGAAATAGCATCACGCTAGCCTCTTTTGCCTTTTGTATCCACAACGGGCCGGTGTTTCTCCACAGAACTACATCCCCCCCCCCCGGCATGCCTCCCGTCTCTCCTCTTCCTCGAACCTTTCTGCAGTGTCACGCAAAGCATTTTCTAATATTACACTACTACTGCGTATCCGTAGTCTGGATAGAAGCGAAGCGATGAGTTCACGGCTCGCCTCGCCAGTCTCCATTTATCCCTCTCTCCATCGCCTGCAGAACCAACACATCACCAAGCCTCTATGCACTTCATTAATGTCAAACAGCCCTTGGTAGAAGGCCGCATCTGCAAAGCAACCTCCGCAGCCGAGCGCTTGTTTCTCTCGTGACCCAAGGACGACCTGAATGACGCCGGAAACACCAAGTTCGTGTTTTCTACCGATCCGCACGCCATGCAGAATTGGTTACTCGACTCGATACCTGGAGGGCAGTGAAGCCCTAATTATGGCCCAGTCATACTATAGATAGTAGGCCGCTGCAATTTCGTCTTCCATGTGTTTTTGGTCGCAGATGAAGAGATGTTAAGAATGGCCAGTTGTCTTCTCTTATGCGAGAACCCATCTCCTCACAGCCCACAGAGCCGTGTGTTAGACGCCAATTCTTACCTATTTCATGACGGAAGTTGGTGATAATATGAAGAAAGACTTTCGCCGCTCTCCGTTTGGAAAGTTGAATCACCTGCAGAGTCTTGATTCATCAACATATCGTAAGGGCAATACGGGATTATCCCCTCTAATCTTTCCAAAATCACGGATGGCCATGGTGATATGGAATCGGATTGTGGTTCGGATTTACCATTGACGCGTATCCCACGCCAAGACCATGTGTATGGAAGCCTTGGTTCACACGTAATATTCGGCTTTGGCCAACTTCTGCCCACGCAGCCTTTGGGTCAGAGGCTCAGAGCATCGAATTGCCGGTGGCAAACTGACAAAGGAAGCCGGCCGGGCTACCAATAGCTTGAGCACGGTCCATTTAGCAGGCTTCTCCAAGTGCGCGGGGCACGAACAGTGTCCCTGCTAACGATGATCCTCCAAGCCGCCAAATGGGTTCTCCTTCTGTCAGCTGTGTCCAATGACGATTCGCGGCAGCACTCTTCAACTGCCTATCTGTACTCCGTACCTGGCAAGTAACTCCTGACAAGGCATGGCTTGGGAGGTGGCTTCCTTCGCTTCCAAGTTCTAGCAACTGGCTCTCAAAGAAACCGCAATACGCCACATTGCCTCACTGTAGTTCCATGTGGGGCTCCTGAGGCGTTTTAGCTATAATGACGATAGCTGGTGTAGTGGATTCTAGACCTTTGTTCTTTGTTGTCGGATGAGGAAAAGCCATCGTTAGATTGCTTGCCTACCTTACCTTAGCAGACGGGGCAAAGGACTCATGGCTGCAGCCGTCTGTCAGCTTGGCTGAATTGAGAAACAAAAGATGAAAATTACCCCTCCAGATCTGCAACGGAAGGCCAAGCCAACAGACCAAGTCAAAGTTAAAGAGAAGGGTTGGGAGAAAACAAGCATTCTATTAAATCCCGTCCTCTTCATTCCTTCCATTCCACCTCACAGGCGGCAGTTCTGCAAGGCGAAACCTGGGCAGATTAAACCGATAAGGGGAGACCCCTGTCCACACCTTCCTGCCTGCGGTGCTTACTCCAATTATTAACCTACCACCTTCCGTGCTTCCTTACCCCGACATTTGTTCCTACCTCACCCAGTTCAATCCTGACCTTTTCCTTGTCAGCATCTTCACCTCAGGTCGCTGGGGGAAAGAAAGGGACTTTGGTGACCACTAGTTGTCTGTTGACAACCGCTTTCTCCTCATCTTTCCTGCCTTTCTACAGTCGCAGGCGTTTTACAATTTCATATCGCTTCTGCCTCATTCACATCGCCTTTTTATTTATTTTTTATTCAACAATCATTATCCTCATCGTCTACCCAGACAGGCACCCAGGACTGTGAGAGACTCATAGAGGGTAAGAGCGACGTTCCTCACCCGTCACACGTGTGACCTGCCTTGAACACAAACAACAGCCCCTCTTCCATTTCTCTTTTCCATTCTACATCCAAATTAACCTGGCTTCACTTCTCACACCTTACAAAAATCATACTTATCAGTCAGTGGGCTCACATGGATCAATAGTTATTTAACAGTTTAGTCCTTACCGGCCTGCCAGGAAACAATCACTTGCACCTACTATACTTTCCCTAGCACCTTCCTAACCTAGGATCGCAAGGCCTCAGGACCGCAGGATCGCAAGGATATAGGACCGCAAGACATCAGACCGATTTACTCTACACCCCGTCCTCTACAAAATGGATTCCGACACATCCAATTTCACCCACTCAGTCCAAACTGGACGCGGCACATCCATCGGTATGAGCGATAATATCCTCATGTCATGGCCAACCACTTCAGTCATGGGAGCTTTCATTGTGGCCTGGCTCATCTTGTGCGCCTCTCTACGCTTCAGACGCATCAACGGCCTACAGAAACGCATGGGCTACACTGACCGCGCTTCTCTTGCCGGCATGAGCAACATTGATGCCCAGCTCATTCTCAAGCACCTCATTGAGTATGAGTTTCCCAAGTTCTATCTGCTTTCACTCCAGTTCGCCATCTTCAAGGTAAGTCCACCCTGTTGGTCTATGATGTAGTATCCAGCTACTAACTCCAAAGTACAGACTTATGGCTTCGAGACCGTATCCAAGCTCATCGTTGCCACCAAGAACCTGGCCGATCCGGAGAATGCGCAGAAGAGGTGAGACCCATCAAGAGCAGGGCATATCGTGTCTAGGCACTCTCAGCTTCAAGTGTCGAGATAACTAACACGAGTTTTCTAGATACGAGGACACAACCATCATCTTTGGCGAGTACGTCAAACGCCCCCAACGCCCTACTACCTCTGACTCTGATCTGACAATATCCTCCTAGATTCTCCATGAACCCTCCAACCTCGGACCGCGCCCTCAAAGCCATCTCCCGCATGAACTTTCTCCATAGCAGCTACAAAGCCCGCAACCAAATTTCCAATGCCGATTTCCTGTACACCCTCGCCGTCTGCGTCACGGAGCCCATCCACTTCATACGCTTCTACGAGTGGCGCGACCTCACCGACATGGAGGTTTGCGCCATCGGAACCCACTGGAAGTCCATCGGCGACGCCATGGATATCCAGTACAAGGGCTACCTCACCCAGGACTCATGGGCCGACGGCATCGAATTCGTCAACGACATCACCGCCTGGGCCAAGCGCTACGAGATCGAGGCTATGAAGCCCGCGGGAACCAACATCCGCGCTGGCGCCCAGCTGACACGCATGCTCCTCTGGCACGTTCCGGGCTTTGCTAAGCCTTTTGCGAAAGAGGTGCTAACTGTTCTCATGGGAGAACG